GCGGCGACTCATCCAAGAGGTCACAAAAGTCCCCACAACAACATCCAAAGAACTGTAGGCCTCACTTGCCTCAGTTAAGGTCATTGTTCATGACTCCACCATAAGAAAGAGACTGGGCAAAAATGGTCTGCATTGCAGAGTTCCAAGACGAAAACCGCTGCTGAGCAAAAAGAACATAAAGGCTCGTCTCAGTTTTGCCAGAAAACATCTTGATGATCCCCAAGACTTTTGGGAAAATACTCTGTGGACTGACGAGACAAAAGTTGAACTTTTTGGAAGGTGTGTGTCCCATTATGTCTGGTGTAAAAGTAACACTGCATTTCAGAAAAAGAACATCATACCAACAGTAAAATATGGTGGTGGTAGTGTGATGGTCTGGGGCTGTTTTGCTGCTTCAGGACCTGGAAGACTTGCTGTGATAAATGGAACCATGAATTCTGCTGTTTACCAAAAAATCCTGAAGGAGAATATCCGGCCATCTGTTCGTGACCTCAAGCTGAAGCGAACTTGGGTTCTGAAAAAACCTTCATTTAAAAACTGCATGTTGTGTTCACTTGTGTTATCTTTTACTAATATTTAAATTTGTTTGATGATCTGAAACATTAAAGTGTGACAAACATGCAAAAAAATAAGAAATCAGGAAGGGGGCCAACACTTTTTCACACCACTGTATATATATATAGGCTTCAGCAGATGCCTTTTCTAACACAATACAACAAGACAAATCCGTTAGCTAACACAGCATTTAAGAGGTAGCCTACTTTAGTTAAAAAACCTGTAATATTACATATTAAAAGCACAAACCAACACATTCTTACCTGTGAAAGTTTATCCAGTTTATTCAGGAATTTCAATGAAGGCAGTTTTTACAACCAGATGCTGCACAATGTTGTTGTATTTTAAAAAGCGTATGGATTTTTATTGTGAGTGATGACATATAGACCTTTCCAAGATGGTGGACATGACTGGAGCGGTCGAATGTGCAATCTACCTATATGCTATATGGCTGTAGCCTACGGCTGTACAATTTATTACTTAGGTGCTATGTTTGGACGCTGATAGTGTTGTCATAATTCATAGTCAGAGTCAACAGCTCATAGTAGTAGGCTACGTCAAGTACTGTCATCTAGAAATGATGGCAATTATGACAGCGTGAACGCAGCATGATACTGCAGTTTGGGCTAGATTATTTGTGTAATGTGGCTTTCATGGGTTTTTGCATTGCTCAAGACTGTATTACAAAAAGTGTCTTATACAAATTAATTTATCTTCATCTTATCGTGCATTAAAACGCTTTAATGACCACATAACACGCATGTTTTGTTGTCATTATGGGTATTTTTTTCCTTGTGTTGCCTAAAAAAAAAAGTCACAAGCCTGCTGGGGCAATGACTTAATCAACTGTTTCTTAAAAAGTATAGGAAATGTAGGTTACTGCCAAGCCTCTTTCATCCATTCCAAAAGCAGGAGTAGGCTAATAAGGAAAGAATTTAAATATAGCTTTATGAGGAAGTCGAAACTGCTGTCCCGCAGAGTTTCTAATGTGGATGTTCTGACATGGCAGGTGATGGCCATGAGTCCTTTGGAGAGAACTGAGTCATGATGTGTCATTAACCAGCTGTTAAAGTGCAAACAGTTAGCTGTGTCTCATTTAGAAGGCTGCGTCCTCCAGGTCGCATTTAAGGCTGCATACGTCATCGGAAAAGTCTCATTTAAGAAAAGTAATGTTAAATTGCAAAGTAAAAAAGAAATATAGTATTTTAAACCTCACATGGAATAACAGTCAATTTTATTATGGTTACTTTTCTTAAATAAGACATCCTTAATGACGTATGCACTGCACATACTATGCAGCCTTCAAATGCGACCTCCGGAGCACGCAGCTTCCGAAACGAGCCGCAGCTAGTAGCCTACTGCCTGTGTCTATAGCTGTATGTCTGCGTCCTTCAAAGGCTGCAGTCTCTCTCTCTCTCTCTCTCTGTTTCGCTGTAACGCTTTATATCGCGACATTAAATGTGTGAGGACACAAACACTGAAGACGATGAAGTAAAAGTCCAAACTGACAGAGGTGAGAGAGCTACAGTGTGTGTGTTGTGTGGGTGGGTGGGAGAGAAACAGAGAGAAAGAACGTGTCAAATACCCGCCTACTGGGGTGAGAGATTGTAAATTTTGTGATCTTTAAATGATGAGCCAGTGGAAATTCTCATTTTAGTGCGCGTTTGCTTCGAGTAAGGACCACTACACTGAAAACAGTAAGAGAATATTATTTACATGTGACTAATTCGTTAATATTAATCCTATATACATAATTGTAACTATGCTACATTTCTATGCTACATTTAAAAATATTGAATCATTTGAGCATTTTAGAAGTTAATTGAGACTATTTTACTTCACTGTTCACTGCTGACAGAGTTGAATGAATTACACTTAATTAATAATAATATTTCAATAATTAATCTATTTTTGTAGTGTTTTATACAATAGAGATTGTTTCAAAGCAGCTTCACACTATTAAACAGGAAAGTAACAGAATAAATTATGCGAACTTGAAAAATGTGGCAAATCCAAATTCTGCTATAAAGCAGCTGTAGCAAGACAATAGTGTCACTGTTTAGCTCCAGTCAGTTCAGTGTTGGTTTAGTTCAGTTCAATAACTGTAAAGTTCATTCATTATGAAAGTTCAGTTCAGCTCTACTGAAGACAGTAGTGTCATTTAGTGTCAGTGTAATTAAACAATTATATTGTATTAAATCATATATACAGTTAATTAATAATTGCTTAACAATCTTCCTTACTTGTTAAATTGTTTTATTTGTTGTGCAGGAAGAAATGTTGGCTGCTTTCAGAGGACTTCCAAGGATTTTGCTAATATTCATTCTAGTACTGAACTCCACTTTAGGTGCTGACACTGGATGTGATGACTGGATTCTTAATGGAAACGATGGTGTCTGCTGCAAGAAATGCAAGCCAGGTACAGAGACATTTACTGACAGCAATGTACTGCGTTATGTAACCTAATAATATTTTTGTAATACTGACATATTCTTGTAAAAATGTATCTTAATTTTAAGAAGATGCAATTTAATAATTTTCCTTTTTAAAAATAATTTATTGGAATATCGAAGATGCCAAAAAGCGGATTACAGATTATCACTGAAATTACACATTAGTGAAGGAAGTTTCAGATCATTTTGAAAGTGTCACATGAAAAGGATGTGGTTTAGCACTCAAAGGGAAATCCATGAATTGTTCTGTCATTGCGTAAAGATGACTAGATCATCCTTAGAGAACCCAAAGGGTTGTCCTAGAAATCTTACTGTAAATAAGGAGCTCTGTAACGCTTACTCGAAATGTCCATTTTCAAACCTTCTGAGACTCAGTGGGTGTCATTCTCTATTAGCAGTAACTATCCTATGTCATTCCAGATAAGCAGACGTTATGTTGTATGACATCAGTTAAACATACAGTGGGACTAAAATGTTAATATATTATCAGATAAAAAGTTGAACTTTATATTTTTCAAAACTTTTTTTATTGCTGCATTTTAATGAGATGAAAAAAAATTCCCTTAGACCTTCGGACACCCTTTAGTGATTAGAGTGCTGAAGTCATGCGTCTATAAGTGTCAAATGTGTGTGAGATTCAGTGGCCATGCTGAAAGCAGCTGCTTGTGGTTACAGGGAACCGCTTGGTGGAAAGTTGTGGAAGAGACCCAGAAAAGCTCTGTACCCCCTGTGAACCCGGAACTTACGTTAACAATCTTAAATTATCTTGTTTGAGATGTACCCAGTGCATAGGTATGCTCCAGTTTTACATCCTCACTACCATTTTGGTTAGCAAAAGATAATAAATGACTATGAGAGAACAAATGATTTTATTTATCTGCATCATCATAAGCTTTGATATGTGCTTCATGCCAAGTACATAATATATACATAATAGCATACTGAGTAAGCATTAAATCTTTTTGGTACATGTTTACAGGAAATCAGTTTACACATAAACCTTGCACTATCAGCAGCGATACCGTATGTGGATGCAAGGACGGATATCGGTGTGGAAACAACAAATGTTCCTTCTGTGTTGATGAATGCAAGGTGGGGGAGGAGCCCACCGAAGAACGTAAGATTTGAATTGAACACCTATTCTTGACCTTCTCCGATTAAGAAGCTCTCAGGCTGTTTAATATCAAATTGCTTGCTGTTATGCTGTATTATTTTTTAATAAAATTCTGTAAATGAATGCTTGCAGGATCTTGTAGAAAATGTCCAGAGGGAAAATTCAATGATAAAATCCACAGTGTGTGCAAAGAATCGAGAAAAAGGTAGCGTACACTTGGCTGTTTTTTAAATATTATTTCTCCGAAATGCATTTGCCATAAAACTCATTCAAACTTTCTTATTCATTCTCTAGTTGTCCTGATGGACAGACTTTGGTCAAAGGAAATGTTACCAGTGACAGTACATGCACATATTTAGAAGGTAAGAAGAAAATACAGGAGGAGAACATAACTTGGATGGCAAGCAACATGCCGCATCATTTAATGTTTTTGTGTCTGTTACAGAACCTAGACCAAAACTCTTACCTACTGGGGCAAAAGACGAAAATGGTAAATTAAAATATCTAGTGAAAAAAACAAACATTATCACCATTGCAGAGCTGTGCCCAAGTTAACTGGACTTATATTTTAAAATGAATATCAAATTCTAACCTCAAGGGCATTTTTGTTTCCTCTAGAACAGACAAACTGGCTTCCAGCTTTCATTGCTGCAGGGATGGCAGGTTTGGCTGTCCTTTTTATCATAGCATCTGTGGTTGCATATGTAAAGGCACAAAACAAAACAGAGAAGAAGCCAAAAACCGATACCCCTGACCAAGGTACCATTTAAACCTTTGTGTTCATTTTGTCTTTCCTATATGGCGTTCTTAGAATAAAACTACCTGTCATGATATTGTCTGATTTTACAGTATTGTCATTCCTTTCTTTTAGACCACTCAGACGAGTCCAGGATAATGGTTGTTGAGCAGGAAGACTGTAGTTTTCGTCATCCTGAGCAGGAACAGGGTGGCAGCTCAGAATCCATCAATACGCAAGACTCAGAGTCTAAACTCATAGTGTGAGTTTACTGGACAGTATTTATTTTTTTATCTGACTTTAGCATTGCTACAGGAACAAGAGGACAAAACCTCTGAACATCTACTAAACTGTGAAATACATACTTGACTGGGCATCGATCAGCCATTCCAGTTGGTGTATCAGTGATTAATTTGAACAAAATGAGTTACATTTGTTCTGAAGAACAAAATGAACTTTCACGTCGGAGTTTCTGAAGTGTGGTGCACCTTAATAACACAAAGATGAGAGGTTGTTAATGTAGGTGTGCAGTAGCAGACAGCATGTCAACACTTTTATGAGAGTAGGCGTCATCTACTGGTGCTTGTGTCACATTTTCAGGTCAAAGCCCTCTTGAAATACCCTGGTGGGCTTCCCCACTTTTTCTAAAAGAGCACCATTTAAAAAAAAAAGATCTTTGGATCAAGAACAAAGAGGATAACATAAACACAATGAGACTGTTTTAAATGGAATGTTTGCACTTTAACCATTTTTATTTAAAAATAGTTATTTGTCTAGTTTTTATTTCAATTTTTTTATTGTCTGGAAATCAGCGGCGAGCACAGAGTAGTTTTTTTGGTAGCTAAATGTGGTTGACCGTATCATGTAGGAAGTGAACTGCTGAAACTAAACATTTGACCTCAGGATTTTTTGGTGCATTTTACTGTTTTGTACATTAGGATTTAAAAATAAGTAAAATTGTCAACCCTTGCCTGTCTAAGCCCTGGGTCAACAAAATTAAGACTTTCTGTTCATTCATTCACAATTCCTTCTTTACTTGGGGTTAGGAATTTACCCTGGACATTTAGGTTTCGACTCAAGGTTTCACATGCTACATTTGTAAATCCCGGGTTAAAATTCTTATTTGCATAGTCAATATCGCGGTTTAGTTTATGATTGGTTGTTGGCCCTTACGTTCTGACGTCGCATCGTTTCACACGCAAAGATGACAACTTGGTGTTAAGGTCAGTGTGAAAAGCCCTATAAAAGCATATAGAATGTAAAAACTACACTGTTGCACTATAGTATACTGCACAGCTTGTTCTGTAGGCAATATTGTAAATATATCAGCTTGCCCCAGGGTTCTGAGAATCCACGTGTTTGGGAATTTCCTGTAGGTAACTTCATGGAGTGGATACTGAGGTCATTAAACAAGTTATTGGGTACAAAATCCTCTGAAACTGCAAAAACATGGAAGATTTCCTTTAAGTTTATTCTCACTGAGAATGGAGGTCAATAAACCAGTTCAAGCGAGTAGCTTCTGACATGGTTTTACATATCTAATCTAATCTAATCTAAAAGGATTGTTCAGTGGACTGTATATCCTGCTGATTCAGTGGGAGTTCCCTGATGACCAGAGTTGAAAAATATTTACTGTATCTGTAATGTTATTATCATGAATCATTTTGCATTCCAGTTTTATTTTCCTCCCACGTCTAGACATACGAGTACCAACGTGCTGAGCTCTGCATCCACAAAAAAGAAAAACCTCACATTATTTGGCTCCAAGGAGCTATTTTCTCAGGGCGTTATAAGCATAACAGCAGTAATGGAACAGGAGTGGAACAACTGGTGGGTGAGCAATGTGACAATGGTGCTAGTCTTTTAACTGTCAAAAAAAGGTCACCCTGTTTAATGTCACTTTATGCATCACCATGGGTTTACTGTGTAAAGCCTTATACTGGGTAATCCTGTTTATAAAACAGCTTTACCTCTTGTAAAAAATTAAAAAATAAATTTACGCAGAAGTTTCATTTTGTGGGAAGAGAAGGTCTCACTAGAAATTGATGTTTGAGGTGCTTCCCGCAGAGATTTGCATGAATTTGTTGGTTATTAGGGAAAGTCTTAACCTTTATCTACAGTTCAAATTCAATTCCACACAATTTCTGCTGTAAATGTAAAATGTGTTTATTGATGTGAATCAAGAAAGATATGGGTATTATAATTTTATATATATATGTCTTCTGTACAAAGCATTCATTAAACTTTATATAGGCAATGAAGGCCTATTGATTCATGACAACACATTATTTACATTGTTGCCATAATATACAATGAAAACATATACAGTATAATGTTAGCATTCAGCATCAGTACATAAATACATGGAAGTTTCATTTCCTCCAGCCTGGCAAAACTACTGCATATATATATAGACTATGCTGATGTACACTACAGAGAAGGAAGACGACTCAAGCCAAAATGGTGTAAACCACTAAATATTATTAAAATAATATTATAAACAGTAAATGTTTAATTTCTACAATGTGAATGCATGACCAGGTTCTGCAAAAAGTTTTCACAACTTCTTACATAATGAAGGCGACCATTAGAAATGAAAATAACACTTTGGGCAAATTAAGACTAGTGTAGTTCCTGGAATACAGGAAAAAAGTACATGCAATTTAAAAAGAATGCCTGCTTGAATATCTTGAGAGATCAAGAGTCATGCAGAAAAACTCCAAAGAGGTTTACTCAACCATGTGCCAACTTCCTTTATCAAAGCATAGTATCGTTTCAGGTTTTCCCAGAAGTCAAATGTGTAATATCAAGTACTGCTAGTGGTAGCTTTCCCTCTGTGGTTACATACCAGCCTCTAACCAGCTGCTAAATAAAAATGAAACAAACCAAAAGAGCATGACATGGCTTAAACAGATGTTTACTAATAATAGCAGCATTATCTGGATGGAGTGTCCCTGTTTTGCAAGTTCAAGTTGATTTGTTGATTACAAAAGTATCCCAAGTCTTGGAGAAAGCAGAAGACTGGAAAGCCCCAAACTGCCAGGACATGCATGCATTTCTTTAATCTAATTTGGTTATTAATTCAGTATTGCAGTTGATTTCACACTTTTATATGTCCAGCATCACTGCTGCTTGCAGTTCTCTTTCTGTTTTGCATTTTCCTTTTTCTCCTTGGGCTTTACTCGTCCCAGTTTGTCACTCTGTCGTTTCGTGGGGGGCACAAAATTAGGTTCCTCCAAGGGGCTGTACAAACCTACTTGTTGTGAAGTTTGATTTTGACAGGAATCTATAAGTTAATATTTTTATAATTATTATTCATACCATTCATAAATACTTTAGAAGCCGTTTGTGTTATGTGAATGAATGAAAGCATCATTACTTTGACCTGATTCAGCTGCGTCCTTCCTTTGAAAGGTGGGGTCCAGCTCTTCTGCAATATTCCTGATGGCTTGTGGTTGCCTGTGGTGACGCCAAAGGAAGTTAAAGAATATTTCCTGAAAATTAAGCCATAGTTCATAGAGAAAATAGTGATTTACATTGTCATGGAAATGTGACTAGGGTGCTGATTGTCTGGGGTGAAGTCATCAACGGGGGATTGAAGACCTTCGGAATCCAGTCTCTGCCTCTGTATATCAAACAGCAAAATTCATAATTAAAAAATGATTTTGTAATTTCTTTGTACCACAACAAAAAAAGGCAACTAAAGGTCAGTTCACTCTGGTCCAACAAACACGAACAGGGTTTTAGAATTTGTTAGAAATTGGTGTTTGCTGAGTCAGTGTGAATCATCCTTGAAAGATCAATATTTCCAAAGAACACATGTGGCAATACTGATGAATCATATGATCAAAAGTAAGGTTTAACCAGTTCATCAGTACTAATATCTGAAGGAACTGTGCCCAAGACATGCATGGACAAGGCAATTCTGCAGAGGTGTCATTTGATACATTCAGATAGTTGGAATTTTTGGTTAGTTAGTAATGAGTACATGGTTACGCAACAACAAAAGATAGTGTCAGTCTAAAAGTATGGCTACCTGTCTGTCACATACTGTTCTCCTATCATTTTCTCTGTATTCTTGAACAGGTTCCAGCTCACGAGACCTCCGTTTAGTCTTTATCTCCTGTTTCTGCATGAAACGTGCAATTTCCTGCCACAAAACGACAATTTATGCACCCATTTATGCATTGGAAAAGTAGCCTTCATTCAAACTTTGCTTACCTCATCCTGAGCAACCTGTGCTGCTCTGAAGTCTCCAATAGGACAGTCCCTTCTAAGAGGAGAGGAACCTTGCGGAGTCTGAGAGAAGAGAACACACTTCAGTATTATTTTAGGAATTTTTGCTACTGTTATTGATAGGGATATTAAACAGACTTCGTGGAAGAGCACTAATACTATAGAGCTGGGCCGTATGATGGTATATACCAAGGGTGTTCAATCCTGCTCCTGAAGGGCCACCTTCCAGCAGAGTTTAGTGCTAGCCCTAATTAAACACACCTGAAAACCTACAGGCATGTGTGTTAGAGCTAAACTTGGCAGGAAAGTGGCCCTCCAGCAGCAGGATGGCTTGGTATACAATATACCAGTGATATTCAATCACGTTCCTGGAGCCCCTCAACACCAAACATTTTGAATGTCTCATTTGTCTGACACTCCAATTAGAGTCTTAAAATGTCTAATGAGCTGATGACCTGAATCAAGTGTGTTTGATTAAGGAGTGAGTGGCATATACCAAAACTGCGGTAGATATATTTGGTCTTGTAGTTCACCTCTTCGGCCAATCTCTCCTCCTCTTCCTGAAGCCTGCGGGCCAGCTCCTCATCCAGCAGCACTTGCTCCAAATCTCCCAAGTCAAGCGCAGCCCTTCCACTCCTAAGAGCAGGTCCTGTCAGGCAATAAGGACAAAATCACAACCAGATAATGTGGAGAGGAGACTCAGGGTTTTCAGGCCACCATCACCTTCAGCCAGTTGGGCCACAACCAGAGGTGTCCAATCCTGCTCCTTGAGGGCAACTGTCCTGCAGAGTTTAGCTCTAACACACTTACCTGGAAGGTTCTAATAATCCTGAAGACCTTAATTAGCTGGTTCAGGGGTGTAATTAGGGCTGGAGCTAATTTCTCCTGGAAGGTGGCCTTTCAGGACCAGAATCGGACACTTCTAGCTGAGACTGTTGAATGTGGATTTCCATTTGATTTAACTCATTGGGAATCTTACTGGGTAGATTACAGCCCTGAAAACACACCTAAAGGTCATACAAAGTAAGAGTCAAATCAAAAAGTAATTTCAAGGCCAAGTCAAGAAGAACCAAGAATATTTAACTGCTCTAAGAGAAAGAGAAGCAGATGAGATTTTGAGGTTTTTGAGAAACAAGGATGAGATCTAGTCTCACTGGTGAAGGGATCAAGCTTAAGTAAAAGCAGATGACACCAAAATAATGGTATCAACTCCCAAGATGTACACCGGAAGCACACAGGAATGAACAGGAATTCTTGTTTACTGATTGGGGATGATTGGAAAGCAATGAGCAGATGTAGGGACAGGCTCAGCCACACTGCAGAGAGGGGTTACCTGCTCCAGAAGAGCGCCCACTGCAAGACTGGAGTCTTTGTATCCGTCTTTCCTCCCTCCTGCTCTCCCTCTCCAACTCTTCCTCTGTGCTCGATCTCTCTTCCTCGAAGGTCTGACAGCATTCACTTTGACTTCGCCTCACTCTACATTCTCCACGCCTGTGGTCTTGGTCTATCCTCCTTTCATCCTCCGTTAATGATCGAGCTCTCTGCCATGCATTTCTGCCTCTCTCCATCTCCCAATTTCTCGGATCTCTCAAACGGTCCTCCACTTCCAACTCCATCAACTGTGGCACTCTAGGCTGCAGTGAGGGGGCATTATTTGAGGGTCTTGGTCTAGCCAAGTTAGAGTCATCAACGCTGCATGTTCTGCTTCCCTCATGCACTGATGTCCGCCTGATGTTACCATGATAACTACGTCGCATTGAAATGTTCCGTCGAAACCTCAAAGAGATCATCCTCAGAGCTGTGGCTGAGGTAGCCTTGCTCACTCATATCGTTCTTTATGAGCTTAATGACATCACCCCATCCACCTGACAGGTGTGAAGATCTGTTACTGCTGCTTTGGCTGGTCATGCTTTTGTCGTCCTGCTCTAAATGAGCTCTGGGTCTGCAGATCAGCCTCCTCTGCCCTACAGTGGGTTTGCTGTCCTGTCGTATGACTGTAGGCCTACTGTACTCAATCAGGTCCTCCTCAGAGTCTGAGTAGGTGGGCGAGGAGGAGTGCTGCCATCGTCTGGTTGGAGACCGGTTGTGAGGTACATGAACAGGTTGGGGTAAGTATGGACGAGCAGGAATGCTTGTGGACTCTTTAGTAAAGCCAACCATGCAAACATAAAGCAGGGGAACTGAGAAATGGTTAGAGATCGAGGGGTGCAGAATAAAACAGTTAACATATGAAGCTCTGTTTAAAAGTAAAAAGGACAAATGAAAATAAAACATGCATTACATGAGAAAAAAAAACATGGAGCTTCACTGAATTCAGGGTGATTCAGGACGTGGTTAGTAGTGTCATCATTTATTCACTCTGTCATTCCAAATGAATTTTCACCTTAGGGTGAACTATACCTTAACTGGGCTTGTTTCGAAAAAAAAAGAAGTGGAAACGCATCAATTTTGCAGGCATGAATGAAGACAATGTATTTAAAGCTAAATTTTACATTTTCTTGAAACTCTGTTAATGCCATTAAAAGGAATTCAGGTTTTAATGTCAGACACAAAAGATGTGGTGTAACCATAGAACTTTTCAAACAGGAAACAAACATGAGTGAACTGGACTTTAGGATCATCATCCCAGATGATATCATGTCCTGTGGGGCTTAAAAAGCAAATGAAGCAGCTGGCTGTGTGTGTCATACTGTATGATGGATGCATTAACAATACACTGCATGTTGAAACAAAGTATTTGTGTATTATTTCAGTAGATTTAATATTCCAAATTTGCTTAAAGATGGAGTATTCTGTGTAAGAAATAATCACCCGTGGTGTCACATTATTTTACAGCAAATCAGATGCTTATACAGGAAACAACCATTTGATTAGACAAAGAAAACACATGTGACAAGACATTGAGACAGTCTCGATGTTATTGGAATAAGAAATTCTTATTATGAACATGTTTACTACTCATTTCTCCAAAGCTACTAAGTAAACAAGGGAGACAAGCAGAAATACTGTTATAGTTTCACACATTGTGTCCTCAGCATGTGAATGGCACCCATATTAACAGTATACAGCATTTATACTGTATGTGAACATGTTGCTGATTCCCAGAAGTTCCACTGAAAGTATCATCACAGTTGAGCATATTTTTGCTGGGCCTCACATAAACTCATTTAAACTGCACTATAAACCTATTTATCAACATGATCTTTCACAAATCAAACTCAAAATCAGACTCAATTCAGATGATTTAAACAGTTTATAGCTATACTATGGGGTTCGGGTTCAGTGTCAATGTAAATGTGGCCCCCTTGACATGTAATTTAGATTTCACACTCCTAATAATCTATAAAATGTATGGCCATTATGAAAGAAAATATTAAATGCAGTAATCTAGAAATGTAACTTTATTTTCTATACAGAAGTGCAGCTTTGTCACACAACAGAAACACTGTCAGTGTGAACACAACGTGAGCCTGCTGAACTGCTGAAGTTACACCACTTCATAAAAACTGTTCAATAATGCCATAAATTACAGAGGAGTATTTTACCTCTACCATCTTTATGTTGGTAACTGCTCCTGTGTCTCAAATAAAGCTCTTCCTCTTCCTGTATCCTTTTTGCTACTTCCTAAAAAAACAACAACAAAAATAAGCTTTACAGATCATAATGGTCATTTGGGGAAGTGAAGATCTGTTTTTTTTTTTTTAACAAATTTTTAATGAATATAGAAAAGCATGAAAAATATAGCTGTAGATTGTATTTGAAAGAAAAAAAACCCTACTATAAAAGCACATCAGAAAGAAATAGATTGACAGTTGTTCAGTTATGACACATCGAGGTGAAATCCTCAAACCTAAGCGTGGGCTTTGTGACAAAAAATATCCACTCATACACTCAACACAGACGCCAGCGATAGTTGGCGTACGTCAGCAGAGGGGAATTTCCACGCTTACGTATCAAAGGTCTTGAGACCTACCTGCTCTTACTGCAAAAAGCCCACCATATCGAATCTTCAAACAGCTATGTGCTCGGTTTGCAACTAGACTGGCAAACGGGACACAATTTATTGCAAAGCTGACCACAATGACTCACAAGTTTCCTCTGACAAAGTATGGTTGAAACATATCTTAACTGAATCAATTACAGTAAGATTACCACAGTGACCATTTATTTTATTTTATCACATGCCTACCAACATTTTGTGCCATGTAAATAAAGATGAAATTTATGCACATTTCATAAGAAAGTTACAAACTATGATTTCTGTGAAAGCATTACTTGAACCCCTATTCAATAATTTTACATATGCTTGTAAGTCACTAGTGTCTCACTTGGTTACTCTTTGAAAGATTTCTTATTTTGTATTTCTACCTGCCTTTAACTGTTATGAAATACTGTCCTTTAAAAGTCTTGCAGAAACAGCCATAAATGTGTCAACATACCCTGTATATGACAGAGAATTTACAGCACTTAACCAGAAGATGGCAGAGTTCTGTCTCAATGACAAAACAAGTTCTTTCCAACAATCATAAAACTTTGACTTCTACTGAGCTCAAATCTGGGATTTTAATGCTGTTTACATACTTCAACATAAAGGAAAAATGTAAGACTTAAGGAGCTGGGCTAAATATTTATAAAAAAGTTTTTGAACACCTTTGAAAATGGGAGAAATGGGAACATGGGAGAACAGTAAGTAAAGAGATGGCCAAGCTGTTTAGGTCAGAGGTTTTTTAAGTTCGAGTCCGTTAATGGGTCACAAGGGGGCGCTACAAGGCACCTGCGGAAAATTTGAGAGAAAATAAAAAGATTTTACAGCAATGTATTTTAAAACTACGCTTTGAATAGGTATTTATTGTGAAACTTAACTATGTTTCTCCAATGTTCTAATAGTAGAAATAAAAACTGTTTTGTAGAAAAAGCAAGATATGCTGTTGACTTTGCTGTTAAAATTGTATAAAAAAATTGCATACTGTATAAAATTAGTAAGTGTTTTGGCTTTAGCCAATGACAAAAGCTAGTCTTTTAATTTTGGAAAATTTTGTATGATACCATGCTTAATATTTTTCCACACACAGCATAAAAGGGTCTGCATACAAAAAAATATATATCTGCGTTTAAGAGGGTACCTTTGAAGGAAATCTTCATATCTGGGGGCACCTTACATTTAACTGTCATGTTAACCTCCTCAGCAGTGTCTCTCTATGTCTGTTGCCATCAGGTCCTGGTGTCCTCCTATTCTAATTAACCTGTTATGCTGACCTTTCTTACTTCACAGCACCAACCGAATTAAATCCACCATCCTGCGCTGAGAGATTTTGCCCCACACAGGGACCGGCTCCTGTCTCAAGAGGTCTGATTTGGAGCTTATCTGGCACCTGGACTCTAAAGAAATCACCCCAGATGAGGTTTGTTTGTGTACACAACTATTAGAATGACTGGGTGAGAATTAAGTTCAGCATTACTCTTCCTGCTCCTGTAGGAGCTCGATAGGACAGCAGGCTTCAGAGCCGTGTGTGGAGATGATATTTAGATGCGACCTGCTGCCTCACAGGCTTTAATTAACACAGGGCTGCAGGGGTGTAAATATGTATAATTAATGCAGCGGAATGACATTTTATGCAATATGCGAGGCCTGTCAGTGCAAAATATGCCACACGGGTTTGAAAACACCTTCAAGATTACTAGTAAATATTAATTAAACAAGAATAAGCAGACTGATATTTTATCATGTCCGTTTTAAAGCTTCATTTTAAACTAAAATTTCAAAATGGCAATGAGCACTTTTGGTGCTTTCCAGTTACATCTTTAAAATAAAATAAAATAAGATAAATATACTTGAGAAGCAGAACTGTGTACGGTAATAATTTGTTTTCAGAGAATATCTGGAATGTTTTTAAAGCAAAACAAAAATGTACAAAGTTTATTCTAAAAAAAAAAAAACTGATACTAAAAAGCCAGTGAGGTAATAAAAACTTAATTCAAGATATATTCTCTAAAAATAATTATTTTTCTCAAACTAGTCTTGTTCTAAATTTTGTTTTAAGGATGTTTAGATATATTAACTGCAAAACAAGACAAAAATGTTTAAGAACATGATTTCTGCAGTGAAGCTGGCAGGTCAAGTCATGATTCTTTTAGGAGTCAAAAATACCTGCAGAAACAGAGATTTTTACATTTACATTTAGTCATTTTGCAGACGCTTTTATCCAAAGCGACTTACAATTTGGGGATCATGCTCATTATACAACTCTGAATCATAAAATGTCCCAAATGTCCAAAATACTGTAATTTGAAATGCCTCACAGGGATGTTGACTCAGATTTATCTGGAACCCAAATTTCCGAGATCACCTGCATGATTATAGGTGGTCAGGATCTAATAACTTGATATGCCAATGTTCTCTGACTCAGTTTTTCTACTTGCTGAGCCAACAATTTCCAGCTTTGCCACCTGAATCACCCAGGACTCTCCCACTCTCAAGACACCCCCAAAAACACTTTGAACAGGCTTTGATTTCCACAGTAACCCCCACAGGCAGTCTGTCTTCAAACAAATCTGAACAAGAGACTCCTTAATTAAGGTTCGCTGCAATGTCATTCAAGAGAAAAATAAAAGCTGAACAAGTTAATTATTTTTCCTGGTAGACTCAGAAACCTTGTTGCTACCTGTTTAAATTTCTCAGAGACTGTCCTGGAACATGACAATAATCAATAACTCAACAAATACAATCAGGAGGTCTTACATGCAGAAATGCTCATCTCTTACTTTTGCTAAAATATTATTTAATATAAAAATGTGTTATTTGAACTAAAAAGTGTAAATAATTTTATCAGGACAACTACTATTCTAGGCAAATGAATTGTCTGGTCATGTTTGTTGCAGTGGTTCTCAAACTTTTATATGTACACACTGTATCTGTGTGTGTATCTATCTGTGTATTTTAATGCTCCGGAACCGTTTCCCCAAATACTTCTATATTTACTGCCTTACTATAAATCAGAAAAACATTTTGGGGGAGAACTTAGATTTAATATTTATAAACTTTAAGATTTCATATTTAGCTGATGCTAAAATAACTTTTAGTACAGTTACAGGAGCAACCAGACATTAAAGGAATTGTTCACACAAAAATGAAAATTTTGTCATCATTTACTCACCCTCATGGCGTTCCAAACCTGTATGAGCTTCTTTCTTATGTTATAACAAAAAAGAAGATATTTTGAATAATTTTAAAGAACCGAACAGTTGTTGGTTCCGATTGACTTCCATAGTAGGGAAAGAAATACTATGGAAGTCAATGGGGACCAACAACTGTTTGATTACAAGCATTCTTCAAAATATCTTCTTTTATCTTCAATATAAGAAAGAAACTCATACAGGTTTGGAACGACATCAGCGTCAGTAAATGATGACAACATTTTAATTTTTGGGTGAACTATCCCTTTAAGCACTAGGTCACAATGCTGGTTGGACGGAACTTTATGGATTATCGCTTGCAGCTTTTTAACCACTATGCCACACCACCTCCAACACAAAGAACTGCTATAACATTTATGGGACCCTTGATACAAAGCCCTCACTAAAGAAAAGCTGCAGATCCATAGAGATTTCCTTTTATTTCTGGAGGAGAACATTTCCACACTCAGCTTTTCTGCTTGTGACTCACTGAACTAGAAGACTAGAAAGGTGCCTGGGGAGGTTATTTAAGGTGGGCTGGAGTTAAATGCATCTGAAGTTGATTAATGCACAGTACGAGTGTGATTTTTCCTTTATAGCAGCTTGATGCTCATTCCCGTGTGGTCTTTGCCAGCACTTACACTCCACAGGAGACTAGCTGAATACATCATCTCACTGGCGTCCCAGAGTGACTCATTAATTATTGATCCATTTGATCCCTCAGACAAAGTGGTTCAGAGGTGTAAATGAAAAACAGAAGGGGTGACGTTTACTGAACCTGGAGTGTGTTACACACCTCGTCCTCCACCTCCCTCCTCCGAGCTTCATCCGAACACCGCTGGATCTCCTCCTGAATCATGCGTGCGTATTCTGAGTCTCGTTCCTCCCTTCACAGAAAAAAACACCTTTGATAAAATGAAAACAACTAAAACCACAGGAGACTAGCTGAATACATCATCTCACTGGCGTCCCAGAGTGACTCATTAATTATTGATCCATTTGATCCCTCAGACAAAGTGGTTCAGAGGTGTAAATGAAAAACAGAAGGGGTGACGTTTACTGAACCTGGAGTGTGTTACACACCTCGTCCTCCACCTCCCTCCTCCGAGCTTCATCCGAACACCGCTGGATCTCCTCCTGAATCATGTGTGCGTATTCTGAGTCTCGTTCCTCCCTTCACAGAAAAAAACACCTTTGATCAAATGAAAACAACTAAAAAACACATCTGTTTCCTTTAATGTAAAGAGGAAATGCTGAGACTGTTGCACTATTGGACATTAGTGGACTTTGGATATGTTATCAGTTACTGAACTGCTGATAAACAGTATACAACCATGAACAGACAGTGTCATATCTGATAGTGGTGTGACTAGTCTTTGACTGTGTGTGTGTGTGATCTTACAGTTGGCGAGTGGCCTGGTGCTGCAGCATCTGAGCCCTCTGCTCCTCCTCATCCTGGAGTCTCTTGGCTACTCTGATGTCCCTTTGCACCAGCTGACTCCTCTGCACATTTGAGTTGTAGTACTGCTCAACTGTTGAAGAAAGCATGCAAGGTTACAGAAGAGCACATGGAAGACACACTACCGTTTAAAGGATTTATTTGAAAAGAAATGAATGTTTATTCAGCAAGGACACATTAAATTGATCAAACAATAAAGACATTGATAATGTTATTAAAAATTCAATTTCAAATAAGTCCTTTTGAATTTTCTATTTATTAAAGAATGTATAACAGGTCCCAAAAAATATTAAGCAGAGCAATTGTTTCCAAACTTAATATAGTAATAATGTTTCTTGAGCAGCAAATAAGCATATTAGAATGATTTCTAAAGGATAATGTCACACTGAAGCCTGGGGTAATGGCTGCTGAAAATTCAGCTTTGCCATCACAGAATTACATTTTATTTATTTATTTTACAATATTACAATAACTACTGTTCTTACTGCATTTTTGTTCACATAAACATAGGAGTAAATCTTACTGACACTAAAATCTTGAACTGTAGTGTATATCAGAATATTTAAACCTCTAAAATAATTTCTAAACATATGATGTATTCGTTTCAGTAAATCCTGTAGCCTTACTGTGAAAACTTGCACAGAGAGATCATCTGATTTACATGTAAATCAACCTAATCACAGTTTGTTTTGTTTTCATATGCCATTTAGGGGCGGGTAAAAGGCCGAGATGAAAAACATTAACTTAAATATTGATGCGGCGATCTCTGTGGACGGATGTTCAGAGAACAGACTAAAACTAAACTCTACCTTATTTGACCAAGCAGGATATTTTAGTTAAGCAGGCAGATTGACTCACATGAGAGGTCTTGTTACCTTATGTACTGAAACACCCTTGTATTTCTAGGTGTGTGAACGCCTGCCCACTTTAGAAGTTTACAAAAGACGGCTGAATATGTCAAGGCTGAGAAAACAGATTTTAAGCTTGCATTAAAATGCTTTAGGTGTGGCAGATGAAATTAGAGAAATGGAACTTACTTTCCTGCTCCTGCAGGTTATGAGCTAGAGCTCCATCCTCCAGTACAGCAAAACACTGGCATACTGCAGAGGAAAAACAACACAATACAACTGCAATAAATTTAACAATTAACAGCTATGAGAAATGCTGCTGATCTTTTATCTGTGGTCTATGATCACTTCAGATTATAAAAGTATAGTATCTATAGTAGTTTAACCATAAATTACTTGCATTCAAGGCTGCAACAGGAGACTTTGTCAGAAAATATTGGCAGACATTTGGACTGTGTTCAGAGACATGCCGTGTTATTCCATGTCTTCAGAAATCACTTCAGGTCATTTTAGTAAAGCTCATTTAAAAATGTTCATAGCACCACATTTGTGAAGCCTCATATTTCAAAACAAATTAAAAAAATGTTTATCCCTTTTTAAAAAGTCTTAAATTCTTTATATACTAACTTTAAAAACGAGACACTCAAATTTCATAAAGCCATAATAACAGTCTGCATGACAATAACTGACCCTGGAAAGTTAAAAACAAAATTACACTTGTGGTTTTGGTCCCGTAAGTGTCACATTTAATTTTAAACCCTATTTTAAAATAATTGACAACCCAGAAAGGCTCTCGCTGCTTTAAGGAAAATCTTAAAAGAAATCTGTATCATACTATTGAAAATAATTTGTCTCTCAATTTGTAAAGCCAAACGAAATTTAAGTAATGTCTATGGGGCAAGCATTTCAGAGGATTTAAAGCAGAAATACGAAGATTGCATTTTCTTCTGTACTAAAGTGTTACTTAGCTATCTGAGCTCTAAAATTGTCTAAATTGTTCTTTTAATGGAAGGACTACTGTTCTAGGTGGATGAAGATCTGGTCATGCATTATTTTCTGTGCTAATCAGCAGCATTTTGATGCCATTGATAGAACGAAACGTTATTTAACCCAGAACATTCCTTTAACAAGAAGCAAAAACACAGAGTATCAGGCCAGTGAACTCTGAATTTAACAAATGTGCATGTGAACCGAAAAGTACAGTTCTTGAGAGTCTTTCAAGCTGATATACAGCCACATAAAATACATGTGTGTAACAAAGTTGCTGCTTATATGAGAGCTGAGCGCAGATCTTTTGGAGCACTAAAGTATCACAGAAAAAAAGTTCAATAAATACTAGTCCTACTCAAACCTCTTGAGGTGCTGTAAATAATTTGGGTGATTTTGTACAGTACGCAGTAAACCTAAAAAAGCTCAGTACAGTGTTCTGTTCACTGCAGAATCCCTCAAGGAGTAAATAACTTTGGTGCTACACGTTGTGGTGAATGTTGAGTAGTGTTGATTGAAGCAGTGTCACTGGTGTTACCAAACAAACATATACAGCTCTCATAAACACGCTCATGGCAACAAAACTTCAACAATCCCATGGTGCCGCCCCTCAGGATATCCTCAAAGTGTACGCCAAATTCAAATTTAGCAAAAAGCAACCTCAAATTCAGCGATTTACAGGGCGGCTGAGTCGCAGAGAGTTTCTGAAAGGAATACGGCCTGTAATTGACACAACAGCTGGAGTCTGAGGCTTTAGTGCTGGTGCTGGACCTGCGGTCGGGATGGAGAACATTACAGACCCTGAGAACAGTAAAAGGGAGCATTTTACTAAATCAAGAGCCACCCCATCAGTGAAACTGCTGGATTCACACTCAACATGACTGAAACTTGAAACACAAATGACTCTTAGCTACATCTGCTTTATTTCAGGATGGCCTGGGCAATTATGCTGAATTAGAGTAGAACAACCATAATATCCTAATGGAGACATACTGACTTCAGCACAACCTCTGACCTGAGCAGCTGATGGGAATCTATGTATAGCTGTGAGGCCCAGCCACCCCGCCTGGTGGGGTGAAACTACCGACCCCCTAAAAATGCGAGCAGAGAGAAATAATCCTTCTGTGGGGTATCCCAGGTTTAAATGCAACCGTTTAAGTATCCGAAAAGACAAATGTATTTTCTGCTTGAGCCCACCAGCTGCATATTGCGATAACCCATATCAGATTACACAAGCACCTCCCAACAATGCCCTCACACATCCACATCCACCCAGAGCGCACACACATACGCCTGCACACAGGAGGAATGGTTTCCAGATGTGCCAGCAGCAGGAAAAAGACACAAGCTGAGTAGAAGGATAGTGAGATTGGTGGCGTTTACTTTGGAAAGGCATACAGATAAGGGCAAAACATAATGGTCAGTGTCTTTGTCTTCTTTTGAGACATCCAGTGGCTCTGTAGACTCAGTAGCTGGTTTGTTTTGTCCAGCACCCAACATACTCTCTGCCTGGGGACAGGGCATGACAAGAACACTAACATCAACAGAAATACACTACAAAAATATTTGTGGACCCTATATAGGCCTATTCCTTGCTAATATCTAAACATATGCCAGAAAATGCATTTTGATGTTGCATTACAAATGACATGCATGCCTATTCATCAAATGTCAGGATAACTAGATTTAAAGGTTTAGACAACTGTTCAAAAGTTTGGGGCCAGTAAGATTTTTTTTTTTTTAAGAAATGAATACTTTTATTCAGCAAGGATGCATTAAATTGATCAAAAGTGACAGTAAAGACATTTATAATGTTACAAAAGATTTCTATTTAAAATAATTGCCGTTTCTTTCTATTCATCAAAGAATCCTGTAATCAATTTATCAGAGTTTCCACAAAAATATTAAGCAGCATAACCGTTTTAATTGATAATAAGAACTGTTTTTTTAGCACCAAATCAGCATTAGAATGATTTCTTAAGGATCACGTGACATTGAAGATGATGCTGAAAATTGAGCTTTGCTATCACAGGAATAAATTACTTTGTAAAGATATGATAAAAATAGAAAAGCTACTTTAAATGGAAATATTTCACAATATTACGGTCTTATTGTATTTTGAGCAAACAAATGCATCCTTGGTGAGCTGTTTAATGCTTTAAAAACCTAAACAATCTTAGGGTGCTGTAGAGTACATGACAATTAGGTAACACTTTAGGGACCAATTCTCACTATTAACTAGTTGCTTATTAGAATGCATATTAATGCATATTAGCTGTTTTTTAGTACTTATAAAGCACATATTAATGCCTTATTTTGCATGACCATATTCTATATCCCTTAATCCACGCCATACCAAAACTTAACAACTACCTTAACTAATAAGCAGCAAATTAGGAGTTTGAGGCAAAAGTAATATTTAATAGTGAGAATTGTTCCCCAAACTAAAGTGACCGTCAATTATTCTCAAACTTAAGATCACATTTCAATCAATTTCTTTTGTATCAAGGTGTTTACATGCAATATAAGTTTCAAGACTGGGCTATCAGTTGGATTATAAAATCCAATTCTCATTTAATCAGAGCTACTGTTCTCAGGAAGCATAACACAGCAAAAGACATGTGAAGCCTATGCTAGCCAAGCACATACGCCAACAGCCAATTATTAAAAACATCTGGTCTGATTCCTTTAGTCAAAACAATCCTAATAACACAAGGACAACAGAATGAACTACTGACAGTTGAATTTAGTATGTTGATTAGTTTTGGTCAGGAAAACACATTAGTCTTCTCTCCAAACACTGATCTGTCCTTCAAACTACACCTAAACTGATAAGATTCCTGACAGCAGTATCCACCCCCATAACAGTTTAGTCAGTGCTGGGATTTCTGCTCATCTTTAGCAACAGATGAGGAACTCCAGAACCCCTAACAGCAGGAGGCTCATGTCTCTACATTTGCAGTCAACAAAAAACAACACTCACAGATTCACACGCTGAAAGGATCGTCCATTTTATCCAGTCAATGAGGGAGAAGCTGTACACCTGTGTCACTTTAAAATTCACTCTCGACAGTCTAAACACCTGTTAACCTCATACGCTCCTCTCATTGTAGGAGGAGCGATTTGAGCCTGCAGACCCGGTTCTAGCAGCGATGTGGTTTAGTGGACCTGACCTCAGCATTCAAGAGTCTGATTGGGGCGCTGAGTGGATTGGCAGGCAAGAGGGTGTGGATATAAAGTTGTCAAACTAGTTTTGCAGAAGCCAAGCCAAAAAGACAAAAAGCTCATATTACAAAGACAGGAAAAACGTATGTTTGAAAGCATATATGCATACTTTAAAAACATGATACGCCCATTTAAAAAATAAGATTGAGCAGTCACAGCATGCAAAACAGACAAAGACACTGAGATGAAACAAAACAAACAAGTGGTTGACAAACTATTGAGCTGAGATAGGAAGTCTGAAATGGATCTGCCAATCTCACTAAGGCTACATGCATGTACTTCACCAAAAACCTTTTGTAAAACCTGATATTGCTCAATTAAATGTGCCCTTGCTGAAGAAAAATATTAACTTCTTTCAGAAAAAAAAAAATCTTACTGACCCCAAACATTTGAACAGTAATATATAGTTGCCACAACCAGACATTTATAGGCCTAAATATCTATCTGGGCAGAGGTTTCACGGCATAAAGAGGAAAAGGGTCAGTGAAGGCATGGAGTGAAGGATGCAACGGGGTTAAAGTGCAGAGAGGAAATAGGCTGCTTTTTCTCAAGGGAACTGGGGTATAGAGACAGCATTCCCAAGACTACGGCAAGAGAACTACCAGAGCAAAAACACATCCACGGGAACTGATAAAACAAGAGTGAAGACAAAGGGAGCTCACTAAGATATATTTATTACACAATGCTTTGGGGAACTAGTATTGAAAACAAACTGAGGAAATGAAAACACTGTTGCTCACAGGCCAAGTTTAAAGGATATAAAACCAATGGGGAAAACATGGCATAGTAATGCATAGACATTAGTTAATTGGGGGATCTAATAGAGTCTTTGTTCAATAGCCAGTGCTTGTTTAAGCATTCAAATACAAAGCAAAACAATGAAAGCACTGTGTACAGAAAGAGAACGGAAGGGAAATCATCATCAAGATTCCCCCCTTCAAAAGAAGCATAAGAGACAATACTGGAACAAACAGAGCCATGTGGAAAGGCTCTTTCACCAATGGAAAAAAAGACAGCTCTTTTGCTTCCGAGATATACAGCAGACGTCTGGAATATTAATCAGATCTCAGACTTATCAGTAAAAGCTTGCAGCACATGGGATATAACATCAGAATAAGACATCTGAAATTCTGAGACATCAGAATGGGAATCAACAATCAATCCCACAATGATGTGACAAATGGATTGGAATCTTACGCATCATACAGCATAATAGCACAAATCACCCAAAATGAAATGGTCTGCAATGTGTAACTATGATGCATGTCAGGCAGGTCTTACCCTCCTGGACTCTGGGCAGGTTGGACTGATCCACCTCCAGCTCTGCCATGACTTCTGGCACTGCTCAACAACTCATGCCATTCAGCAACACCTAGTCTCATGAGAGAGAGACTCTGGTTAGTGCTAGAACGACTGGGCCAAAGTAGCTTATTTGGTCACTGTGAGTGTCCCAACAGATACACAGTTCACCACTGTCTCATTAAATACATATTACTTATGAGACCATAGTGCACTGCAAACACAAATATTTTGACAAACCACTGCTACAATATTTGAAAAATAAATAAATAAATAAAAATATAAAATAAAATATATAATATATATATATATATATATATATATATATTACTTAAAACACAAATAAAAAATAAACAATATATTATCTTTAGAATTCATCTGTAAAATAAAAAAAAAGAAATAACAGGAATAAGGAGTTGTATAAAACAACAAAAAAAAAATAAAAAAATAAAACGTCATAAGAAATCATCAATAAAAGTAAAATAAAATAAGTAATTCCTTTAAACTACTTGCAAAATAAAATAATAAAATAAATAAAATAAAAATATAAAATAAAACAATTTCTTTAAGAAGTCATCTGTAAATAAATGCAAACACAGCCATGATAAATAAACGATTAAATTCATTCAGTCAATGAATTTAATTATTCAAATTCATTACTGGTTTAAAAGTCATTCAAATTTAGACGTAAATTCCAAAAATATCGACTCAGTCAGAGCATAAATTGTGTTTTACTATTTTACGCTTTGACAGAAAGCATAAACAAACACTGTGAAGACACAAGATATGACAAAGCAGCTAATGCAAAAGAGCCCCGAAACAAAACAAAGCGAAACTAAAACAACCAAAAGACAAACAAACCAGCAAAAGTGAAATGAATGGGGACAGCGCGGTAAATGGATCTTCACATTCCTCACGATTTTCACCACAATGATTCATCCCAAAAACATCGAACACTGAAAACATGATTCACTACAGACACCAAACACAGTGCCTTACCTGCTCCGCGCTTCTCTTCTCTATAAATGCTCTTTTCTGCGTTCAACCACTTGTTGCATACTAGGGTTACTCGAAAAACTCTCACTTCTCATAAGCTCATACTTGGATTTGGCAGGGTCTGAAACAAGCCTGAACTATAATTACCCAGTTTCAAAGTTTCCGACTAGACAGACTGTTTTTGACAACGAGACAATGGCATGAAGCTTCCACAGGGATGGCAAGCCAGCGCGGACAAACTTCACGCTCCCTCCCTCGACCAGCGCGCTCCTTACATCACACTGGTGCATCCAATCACATCAAACATTAACACAAATATAATTTAATAATCCATAAAGAAGGGGGAACTTTGATGCCCTGATTCGCTCTTTGAAATATACTTAGATCTAAAGTCTTTTATTAATTGTAATTATTGAAATGTACAATAAGTTGTCAAAACATCATTAAAAACAATAGCAAATTATTATTCAGTAAATTTTCTAGTTATGCTAAATGAATAGGGCATAATAAATGCATAGTATTTTACTCTGTTACAAAGTGTTCCTCAGAGGTGTGGGATGATATTCTGCCCTCTACTGGTGATTGAGTTTTAAAATTCAAGCATTCTGAAGGAAACTTTTCTTCGTTATGACACACCTGCAGTTTAGCACACGCAAACATGATATAATTGTGTTTTGTCTATTGTATTACTGTATAGTATATTGCGAAACAAACAAAACATGCAAGATAATCCTTCTTGTTTATCTTGTCCTAGGATACATGGTTTGCCGTTTCCTTGCATCTTTTTCGACGGAGAATAAGCAGGATATAACTAAATAAAAAAGAATAATTAAAATACTTATTTAAGAAAAGTAGTAAGAATCTGTCATTGCTATTTTTTAAACGTTAGTAACTAAGGTCTATTGATCAACTTCAATTCTGAATGGGGGTTTTGGGGGGTTATGACCTGATATTGCATATTCTGTATTGCATTGTTTGTTATGTGTATTGAACATTTGATTTTAATGTGCATTTGAGTGTTGTGATTTTGTGTTCAATAATTCCTCATAAGATCAATCTTACATAGCCTATTAAATTAAATTCACAGATGTAGCCAGACTGTGAGTGACGTTCATCCATTTCTCAGGTCTGCTCGGTCTGATTATACTCCAAGCTTTGTAAATGTCAAATGTGCATCATTAATACATCTTTGCCAGCGGGTGATAAACAAATGTCATGCTCTCCTCAGCAGACGGGTAATCTGGACTTTATATCCCTGAGCTTCATTTTTATTACCTTCATTGACATTATATTGTTGGAATCAGTGTGGCTGCCTGAATTCCCAATAAAATATGTTTACCTGCATCAGTTAAACAGCCTTTTCTATGAGTTTAAAGAGATATAGCTATTTTAATTTTCAACGTAAAAGAACTAGATTCATAGGCTAAATAAATCGGCTGATATATTCATAAAAGAATCTCTTTATGTGTTCTGCTGTCTCAAGAGTTGATAAACGAACATTTGCACACCTGTGGCCCCCAATTTGCAAATTCAGTAAAACAGGTCAATGAGATTCAAAGGTGATAAAGCCACTGTGGACCTGCTACAACAGCCATCCTGATTTATTCATGGATATTATTAACTCAACAGGATCCACATTTTAAAATAGGACTCTCAATAAAAACACTGCATTGATTATGATTCACTCACTCAGCTTTGGTAGAGTGGTGTATATAAGATAAGAGAGCATCCATCCACCTCATTCACCAAAGCCTGACCTGATAGGACCTTCAACCTGCTGCAGAGATGATCTGTAACCTGCTTCTGTCCTGCTCTGTCCTCCTGCTCTCCTGCAGTCATCTGTTAGGACATCCTGTTATGGACACAGCTGCCATGACTTACAGCGGCCCTGGTGAGTGCATTCAGACATAGTGTTTCAGATGTTATTATTTGTGTGTGTGTGTGTGTGTGTGTGTGTGTGTGTGTATATATATATATATATATATATAGGATATTTTTCCCCTGGCAATGATTATTGATTTTTTTGTGTGTGTATATATATTGGATATTTTCTCTTACTTTCTCTTGCAAAGTTGTGCTCATGGATGTTCAGGATCCATGAATCCTATAATATTACTTAAATATATATTGAAGTATTTTTTATACATTTTTTAAATTATATATTATTAGGCTATATATTTAATAATAATAATAATAATCTATTGAACATATAATAATATTAATAACAACACAAGCAATACTAATGATTATTTTATACATAAACAGTATATAATTATTATAATATATATAAAAATATATAATATATATGTAACAAATCTTGCTTTTCACCATGCATTTAACATTATTTTTGTCCAAGGAGACATTCTTAGAATCTCTTTTTTCCACCGATACCCATTTTCATTGACAACTGGCTTACATTAGTACACAGGGTGCAGAAATCTAACATTCATTTTGTAATACTGGTGTCAGATAGCAATGCAGGCAAATCTGCTGTAGCTGATGAAATAACGTCTGTCTGATTGTTGCTTTAGACTCAGTGGAAGAGGCCGGAGGCGTCAGTCCAGATGATTTCTCTGTCTCTGATCTCAATGATCTCCTGCAGAGGGCGGCAGTCGTAGGATATTCCCCGCTGCTCAGCCGAGAGAGTGAGACTCATTTATCTGACAGACATTTAATCTAAAAAGTTACAACTGCACCATCTTTCAGAGTTACTGAAAGTTCTTCTGCAGACGAAATGAAATCACTCTTTTGTATGCTCATACTGTTTCTTTCACAGATATCAAAGTGCCTGGGCAGACTCCTAAAGAGGCACTTAGAGAGGTAAACGAAATAATCTCTAAGCATGTAAATAATGCTGTGTTCATGTGTCTATATTACATTTTCATGCAAATATGTGAGCAACAGCCTCTCTTTCTCTTTTAAGTTACTGTTAGAAAAACCGTATCGCCTCATTCCTCCCAGCGATCTGTGGGGCAGCAGGAGACAGTTCAGGAAGAGAGGCGGCGGTGCAGATTGCTTCTGGAAATACTGTGTTTGAGGCATTCGTGACATATTGAAGTCACAGGGCTTTTATAGCTTTTCCTACCAGTATGGACTCTCTCTTTCACACACACCCACACATAAATATACACAATACAAAAGCAAAAATATACAGGACACAGTTATAAAAACGTTTGTGCAGAACAGTTGCTTCACAGAGAGACTGATGTAAACCACTAACGTAAAATATCTGGGATTTTTTCCCTACATATCTATGTAAATTTTGAATGACATATAATTCTGGAATATTTGGTATAATATTCCAAATAACACCATCTTTATAGAAGAGACCACAATAGCTGTACTGTATAAGACATAACTGTAAACTATAAATAAATGCAAAAATAAAATAATAAAAAATAAATAAATAAAAAGCCTCCATTCTTTGTCAATAATGTTGTTACCACCCCCGTCCCCCCTTTGTAAATTGAAATACAGAATTCGCATTTGTATATTTTGTAACTCCTTTTATTTCATGTTTTACAACGAGTTCTTCACAGAGAGAGCATGCAGATGAGATTTGAGTGTAAACCTGGTAGCTTTGGATTGATTGGTTCAAGCTTTTTTGAGACTGATGAATCAAAAAGTGACTATTCTTCAACCTTGGAGACTGGACATCCACTTAGCTGGAGATGACAATCGGTATCTAGATGCATCTACGGACTTACTGAACACACACAAAAAGAAAAATACAAGCCAAAGTTAAGCTATCATACGTGTTCAACACCACTTGCCACCTTTACTCTATTTATATAAAATATAAAGAATACATATTAAAAAATAAACATTTTTTTGGGTCATATCTAGGGCACCAAGTCTTAAAAATAAAGGCATCTATGGTTCCATTAATAACCTTTAACATCCTCGGAACTTTCCATTGCATAAAATGTTCTTTATAGTGGAAAAGGTTCCTTGGAATATTAAAATATTCACTACACTAAGAAAAATAAAACAGTTCTCTTAAGAACTGATCTCTTAAAATTCTTAAGGGAGTCCAAAATGTTTTTTATGGCCATAAAAAATCATGCTGCTGCTGTTTTACAAGAACAGCAGTTCAGTGGCTGTTTGATTACCTGCTGTGGACTCTTGAGGGTAAGGCTCTATGAATTGCTACTCCTAGACGTGGCAGGTCTCTCTTCTCCGGATCCTCAGTATTAGGCCACAGAACCTCAGGCTCTGTGTCCTGTCCCTCCTGCTCATTTACTGGATGGCTTCAGCAGCTGAATTCTCTTTTTTAACATATCCATCGATTCAGCGACTCTTTAACATGCACAATTACAAAAATAAATTGCTCAAACCAGGGGGAAGGAAGAAAAAAAAGGACATTTAAAAAAGAAGAAACAAAAAACTAAACAAAAATCAGGGGTCATCAGGAAAGGAGAGGGCTACATAATTGGGAAAGACACAGAGAAAGACAGCTAGAGAGGAGAGGAAAAGTAGATCTAACACTAGTTTAACATGCAAAGTGTAGAGAGCCCCAAGCGTAGCTTGTAATAAAGGCAGGGCCGCTATTTTCTGGGTTTGAAAGGGATGAAAACGTGCAGCTCCATGAAGGGTGTCGTATAAGCACTGTCCTTAAACTACTGCATTCTAATCTCACAATACTGGCATTTGCATAAGAGTAAATCAGCTACGTGTGTCCAACAGATCGCTGTCCCCATTAGGTCTACAGGTCTCCACTTCAAGAATTACTTATTGCTGTGTCCATGAGTGGTGGGATGTTCCCTAGGGCTCTGTTCTCCCTTTTCTAAAGAATGGATGCTTAGGAAAGGCAGTCTCTGTTCGAAGCCTTTGATGCGACAAACAAAACTGATGAGGTATCTTCTTGTGGGCTGAGCTGTGATACCGTTAAAGCTGAGAAGCAGAATTGTCAAAATGAACCCGTATGCGACCAGATGAGGTTATTGTCTGGCGTTTATCATCTACAGCTATTCTTTTAAATGCTTTGAAACGTCTATCTATGACTAGAATAAAGTGATGATGATGTTGATGAATCGAACTGAGCAGCACTTTTTCATTATTGTGATACAGTATATCCACGGCAGTGTGTTTATACAGTGACTATAGGATCCGGAGAAGCTGCACTGAACCGAAACACCCATGCGTATTTACACAAGCATCAGACGCATTCGCGTAGAGTAGACCTGCTCCTTTGCAACGGGCTTAATCACTCTTATACAACACCAGTCAGTGCC